AATTAAAGCAGTACAACCCAAATGTTTTTTCAAAAATAAATGTTCTTATATGCAGGTTCAACAAGAGGTCTGAAAAGCTGAGCATTTAGAGAATAAAGGGTACCTTGAGAACCTCCGCATTCACAAAACTACTCCAACTGTGAATAGCTATAACAGAATCCTCTACGTCCTCAAAAGCTGCCCAATCCTTACTTTACTTCAACCAAAGATCTGCCCAAAGGAACATGCATTGAACCTTAATCATAAACTTTCTTCAACTTTAGATCAGCTTAAACCTACACAACAACATCCATGCTCTCAAACTCAGAGATGCGATCAAGCACAATCAACTTAGCAAGGGACTACATCTCTCTCACATTCTTGGCAGCAAGCTTTCTCTGCTCCCTCTGGTCAATTTTGGCTCGGAACCCTTGAGCTGGGCCTTGTGAGGATTTTGATCCAATATATTGTTCTTTAATCACCTTCAACTCCTTCTCACGCTCTCGATCCACCAATTTATCCAACCACGCACACTCACGCTCGTTGGCTTCTTCCTCGTACTGGCAATTGTAGCATTCCAAGCAGTGTTCCTTGTCTTGCCTCCTTTCACGATCTCGGTAGTTGGAATTGGGGGAGGGTTTGGAGGAGCCGGAGATAGAAAGATTGAGGCGATGAAGCTGGTGTTGTTCTTGGATGCAGTGCTGCTGAAGGCATTGGAGGACCAACTACTCTCTCTTTAGTTAAGAAGACAGGCTTGGGAGAAAAAATCGTAGGAACCTCTGCCGGAAAAGGAAGAGTCATGGGATTTCTCTCTACATGATGAAAAGCATCGTTCACCACAAACCAGCCAGGAAAATGGAAAACGTTAAAACACTTGGATTCGGAAGAAGAAAGGCTCACTTTTGAACCAACAAAGGCAAGAACGGGAAAAACTGGCAACAACAGAAAGAGAAATTGTCATGGCCTCGATAGTAATAGGAGAAATTTCTAAGATCACCTCTGACAATGGGATCCACCCCCATCTCGGCAATATCCCAAGCAACTGGAGCCATAACAGCAGATTTTGAAGGATTCTCCTCTGTCAAAACATAAAAATGGCAAAGAAGAAGAAAGAAAATGCAAGAACCAATGGAAGCAGAAATCGGAACAGAGCCGGAGGCAGAAGTCAAAACAGAACCGGAAGTAGAGATAAGAACAGAGCCAAAAGTAGAAATCAGAACAGAGCCAAAAGCAAGGATCAGAATAGAACCAAGAGCAAAAGGATTAACAGCCATCATAAGACAACCGACGTAACCAAAATCAAAGAAGTCTTTCTCAAAAGGAAGAAAACAAAAAAGAAATCAAAAAGAAGTCAAAAAGAAAGGAAGAATCGGGAAACCCAAAAGAAAACAAAAAGAAATCAAAAAGAAGTCAAACAAAAAAGAAAAGGAAGAATCGAGAAACCCAAGAAAGCCCCATTTGAAAGCCAAAAGGATAAATTGCATAAAATCCCAAAGAAATAAGGGTTTGAACCAAAAGGACCTATCATACCAACTGCACCAGGAATCATAAAGGAAAAACCTGAGCTGCACTCTTTTTTCCTTAAACTAGATTTTTTATCCCACAGGGTTTTTTCTAGTTAAGGTTTTTAACGAGGCAGTCATAGTTGAAAAAGTGAAAACCTGCGCAAAATTCAAAACCAAGATGAACAGAGCAATAAGAAAGACAGACACCCATTGAAAGTTTTCACTACCCTCAAACTTCTTCATTGGGGGGCAAATGTTATACCCTAAAATAAGTTCTATGATAATTAGGACATGTGGAGGTATTTTAGAGATAGTCCTATCAAAAGTAGAATAGGATAAATCTCACTAGAATAAAAATACCCCAAACACCAATCAAATAAAATTGTATTCCTAGAGTAACTATATTTAAACATCCTATAAATACCTCTAGGATCAACCTAAGGAGATAGATTTTATTTTTCCATCACTATTCTCTCTACATTGTAAACTCTCTCTATCAATAAAGATCTTGGTTCCACACCATCTACTCTATTTTTACAGTTAACAAAAGGCATGGTCGACTTCTCATTAGAGTCCACCAAATGAAGCACCTTAATGTGTTGATATAGGTCCTTTAGACATGTAATGATATTCTGCCAAAAGTTTCTATCTAAAACCATTTTCTCCAAAAACTTTCCATCTCTCAATTTTGAATGTTTATTATGTTTTCATTTGAGGGAGGAAAACATGGACACCAATGCACCCTTTAGTTCATTGAGGCACCCCAAAGTAAGATATGAGGTAGCAAAACAAGTGGCAACTGGTCTAATTAAATCCCTACCATCGATAGATTGCTTCATTAAGGACATAAGTAGAGTTCTTGAATAAAAGAAAATTGTTACCCTTTTTCCCTTGTAAATTGTATCTTTGTGGATCTCCAATTTTTCTCAAAATCCCCCAACATTAAATCAATGCAATGTGCTATACAAGGTATCTAAAATAGTGTTTTTCTTTCCTCCATTATCATCTCCCTTGTAGCTTTATAATTATCAGCATTATCTATAAAAACCCACACAACATTTCCTTCCCCCATTTTCTCAATGATGTCATCTAACATCTCAAAAACCATTTTAGTAGTTTTTGAAATTTTAGATGTATCAATTGATGATAAAAAAAAAAAATGTTCCCATTGGACTATTCATAAAAAATTCACTGTAGATTGCCATTTTTTGTCACTCCATCCATCTGATAGAATAGTGCAACCAATTCTTGTCCATATTTTTTTATGCTTCTCAAGCAATTCATTTGTGTGGCTCACCTTTTTCTTCAAATATGTTTCTCTAATTTGGTGATAGGGAGGCTTGTACCCAATCTCATATCTCCCAATCACTTCACACATTTTTTATGAAATGTGAATTTTTCACATAATTAAAAGGTATTGCACTTGTGTAAAAAAATGGCAACAAGTTGATGTGCTTCCTCGTCTAGGTCAAGTTTTAACATTTGACTTATTGTGAGTTGAGTGCTTTTGGATCTCCTAAACAAAGAATCAATAATATGCTTTTCTCCCATCATGTTTTCCTTTCCCCATACCACCTCTTCATCACTATCATCACTTCTTCCATCCCCTCTATTAAATCTTTGTTTCTTTTTTGAGTGCTCCAATTGACTTACTAGAATTTCAAGTATTTTTTGCTTGACATCTTCTAGTACACTCAAACATGCTCCAACAGTATTTTTAATGCTTGCCAGGTGATGTTTAAAATGAAAAGTACCACAAATAACTTCCTTTGAACAATACTTGCATTTAATTTTTCTAGAAGTACCATCTTCATCAAAACCATTTTCCTAGCCAATATCACTTCTATTGCCGAAAGCATTTTTGCTTGCACATTTGTTTTTTAGAGAAATACCACCACTACTTGAAGCCATTAAAGCTTGCAAATCAAACAAAAAAGACAATATAAATACAAATAATTGTTAAATATAGTTGTTATTCTTGACATGAAAGATAAAAACAAATTAAAAGAAATAAAAAAAATTTAAAAGGAAAATAAATTATATAAATTATTTTACAAATAGTAATTCTATGATTCTATCAATTTTATAGTTTTATTCAACGATTTCAATGATATTGATTACAGTCATACAAATATATAGCATTTTAAATAAAAAAGTAATTATATTATACAGATGAAATATAAATTTGTGTTTATTTTGCATTAGTAAAAAAATATTTTTACACATAAGGAATAAACACAATAAAACAAAAGAATTTGAATGATTAGAGTACAATTGAAGTCAAATAAATCATGATAAAAGAAAGTACAATTAGAGTTCTCAATAGAGGGGACGACTTTGTCAAGACTGATTCAGGCAAGCCATATCAGTGGTAATACAAGTAGCACTAGTGACAACGTAGGCAGCACCAATGGCAACACAGCATGGGTGGCAATGCAAGACCAGTAGAAACAATGAATCTCTGGAGATGTTTGTTACTATTATTGTCACTATCGCTAGAGAAGAAAAAAAAAAAACTTAGATATTAATTTTGAATTTCAAAGATTAGCTGACTTTTTTTGTTAGATTTTTAATGTTGTAGAGAAGGTTAAGAGATTAGTCGACCTATCGATTTATAATTTTGAAGATTCATTTGAAAATTTAGGGATGTTTTTTATTTTATTAATTAAAAATTATTAATTAACATTTGTAAAGCAAAATAGATTTTCCATCTAAAATCATTTGGGCCTACATGATCTCATGATTTTGTGATTTTTTGTGCAATCTTAGATCAATTTTTCAATATCAACGATTTTTATTCAATTTAAATCATTTAATGCACTTAACATTGTAAGATTATGTGATCTTAATAACCATGCATGTATCTCACAATTGTCCATGTAAAATACAGTTGCATACTTTGAAATTGGGGAGTCTATATCAACTTATAAACATCCTAAGTTCAAGGCCTTAAATGGAACAAACTAGACATGCATGAATATGAATGTAGGGATTGAAAATTTCTAGACCCAATTGAAATAATTTAAAAGATGAGGATCAATCTGAAATGATTTTTGTGACCATGAGACTGAATTGTAAAGATTAAAGGTACATGGACTAAATTTAAAATAAATTGAAACCTGCAAGGACAGAATTGAGATCATTTTAGATCAAGGGAGGGAGACCACCGTGAACAGATTAGAAACTTGAAGGAGACCGGCTTGCACGAAATTGAAACTTTGGGCCAATTTTTAAATGGATTTGCAAAGATTATTGCTTTGGACCTTAAAAAATATGATCCATTAAACCAACTTAAGCACGTCAAGGTTGACCCAGCAAAAATGATCCGTCGGGCCAAAGGCCCAAGCGGATCAAACTTGAATGAACGTTGGGTTCCTTCTGTTCTTCATCAACGAAGAAGAAACTCAGAAGAATACCCACCAAAACAACAACCCAAATGCGGAATCACAAAACAACAGAAACAACATGAAATCCCTGCATGCTTGTCAAAAAAACATGAAATCTGTGCATAACAGCATCATTAATCTTAGAATTTCATTAATATGTTCACAAATCTCGTACATGGTAAACCGTTCATAGATGAGAAAAAAAACTAGAACACCAGATCCAGCCAAGAACAGAAACTCTGAAGTAACATAGAAATGCTTCTTGGGGATGATTACTTTTGGGTGATCCATTTTGGACCAGTCCCAAAGCAAAGCCCTTGAGGCAGTCTCTACGCTTTGTTAAATGATTTACCTAATTTAGATGCTAATTAAAAGGAGTTGCCGGAATCCGAGGGCAGAACTGCCAGGTCCACCTAAAAGTGTATCAATCATTTTTTTATCTGAAATTATTGCAGCAGTGGTAAGCCCCACGGCACACTATTTGTTCTACTGTTTCACTCAAATTATTGGTGCTATAAGAGTCAAAACCCATGGCTGCTAATTGATAGGAGTATGATATCAATTTTTTTTTTTTTTCCTGACATATGTTGATTGACCCTCCCTTCGATATGGAGATTAAGCAAGCTATGTTTGCTATGAAGCCTTTTAAGGCTCCTAAGCCTGATGACCTTCATGCAGCTTTTTTTCAGAAGTTCTGGTATGTCCTTAAAGATAAATTTTGTCTGGAAATTAGGGATATTTGTAGCTCTGGGACTGTGCTTGATTCTTGGAGCACAAACCCGATTGCACTTATTCCTAAAAACAACAAGCCTAAATCTGTTTCTCAATTTAGACCTATTGGTCTTTGTAATACCTCATACAAGGTTGTCACTAAAATTATTGTCTTCTGTCTTAAGAATTTTATTAAGGACTTGATTTCTCCAATGCAATCCAGCTTTATTCTTGGGCGCAAAGGCATTGACAATGTCACCCTCCTTTGGGAGTTTGTCTTCTCCTTTCATAAAAGAAAAGGGAGGCAGGGCAACATGCTTGTTAAGTTGGACTTGGAAAAAGCATATGATCGTCTTAAATGGTGTTTCATTAGAGAGACTCTTATCTTTTTTAATTTTTCACCATTATTGATTAAACTTATCATGTCTTGCATTTCCTCAGCCACCTTCTCTTGCATTATTAATGGAGGTGTTACTAATTCGTTTAAACCCTCTTGAGGTCTTAGGCAAGGGGATCCTCTCCCTTCTTATTTATGTATCCTTTGTTTGGAGTATCTTTCTTTAAAACTTCATCATGACACCAATGCTGGTATTTGGAAAGGCACTAAACTGGGTAAATCGGACCCCTATTTCTCTCATTTATTTTTTTGTTGATGATCTTATTCTCATTGGTAAAGCCACGGTTTCAAACTCCTTGTATCTTAAAGGTCTTCTTGAGTTCTTTTGTTCTTGTTCGGGTTAGAACATTAATCAAGATAAGTCCAAAGTCTTTTTCTCTACTAATGTTAATCTTGAAACTAGGCATGCTATCTGTCAAGCCCTTGGTTATATGGAAACTCACTCCTTAGGAAAGTACCTTGGCTTCCCTATTACCCCTAGAAAGATCAAAAAATCTGACTGTAACTTTATTGTGGATAAAGTCAGATCTAAGTTGGTTGGGTGGAAAGCCAATATGCTTTCCCTTGTAGGGTATGTTCTTCCCAGCTTCTATTCGCAAGGAACTTGATACCATGTGATATCCCAGTCCTTATTTTCAATTGGTTAAAGAAAATAGGTCCCAATTTGCAATAAGTCTAAAGTTGAAGTCTTTCACTTCATTTAGAATTAAGAACAAATATACAATATTTGTTAATTAGGGGATTGCATGTTAATTTAATAAACTGCAGTCCTAGTGTTTATCCTAAGGAGAAATTAATATAGTCCAGCAATCAACAACCTGTCAAAACAAATAACAAGTGGCTGGATGAGAAGTATGCCAAGTGGAGAGCATTTAATACCCACTTGACTGGGACTCCTTGGACCATATCACTAAATTGGCCATTTTCTTATATTTTGTCTATAGCTGGACCAAAAGAGAGGGAGAAGGACGGTGCTGATAGGTTAAGCAGACTGGGAGAATATTAAAGAATTCTACCAAGTTCAAGATTTTTGAAGAAAGTGTGTAGGTAAGTGTGATTCTAAATTTTAAGTTAAGATTGCCAAACAATAAGTAAAACAATAGAATAAGCATAAGAAGTCAGGCTGTTGCAGTTTAAATTATATAACAATATAGAGAAATAAACACAGTGGTGAATTAAATTAGCAATCTCTTATGCTGGAACTGTGAAATCTTTACAGTTCAAGTTGTGAGATTAATATGTTATGTATATCACCTTTTCTAGACTGTGTCCTGTATATTTAACCTAGGCACTTTATTATAGCTTGTTTCTATTAGCTTTATAGACCATATTAAGTAAATATTGAAAATTGTTATGTATGATTATGTGTTATATAAGGTGCTGTTGTGCAATTGTCTTAGAACTATTGAGGGTTTGGACCCCAACCTAAGCTTGGGGATTAGAACAGTGAACTAGTGAACCTCTGTGCAGTAGGTAAGTGCTATGACTAGCTCTAGCACCTAATGTGAGTGCATGCACATTCAGTAGACTCCATAGTTTGTGTTATCACTATTATGATGTGCTATGTTTATGTGATCATTTATGATTGCAATGCCTCAATTTCTACAATGTTCATACAGCTAAGAACTAAAGGAATTTTTCGCACAAGATACTAAAGATTAAATTAGCAGCTTAACTTGAGATTAAGAATTATACTTACTTGGCTGTGAGCTCATGGTGTTATTCCCACCATTTCAGATAGCAGCAGTGAAGGGTAGCTGTTATTCCTAAGAATTTTTATGGGTGGAGGCCCTATGCTAACTGTAAGCTATGTTGCAAATTTCAGTAAGACAAATCTGTATCTACCCAAAACTTTCATTTGACTCTATAACTTTGAATTTATCTGTACTGTATTAAGCTTGGGATAATATATAAATCGAATATTTTGATATTATAGATTTCTTCTGTATTTTTCTTTACTTAGTTGTGCAATATATTTCCTTACTTGATGGACCTATGGTTACTCTAGAGGGGATGTTACATACCATCTCTAGGAACTTCATTTGGGGTTCTACATCAGCCAAGAAGAAAGCCAACCTTATATCCTGGGATAGAATTACTCAACCTAAGAAAGTTGGAGGCATTAGTATTAGGGCCAGTAGAGAAGCGAACCAAGCTGCTATGGCTAAACTCCACTGGAGGGTAGTCACTGAGACTCAAAAACCTTGGGCTAAAGCCTTCATATCTAAATATAAGATTGATTCTCCATGTCATGACTTTGCTCATTCACCCTCCCCTCTTTGTAAAGATATCTCTAAGGGTAAAGATATTATTAATAAAGGTGCAAGCTAGATTCCATGGGATGGTTCTAAAATCCTTTTCTGGCAGGATATATGGATTCTAAAGGATCCTTTTTGTTCTATTTTGTATGGCCCCTTTAAACCACACGATCTGGACATCACTGTGAAAGATTTGCTGGTCATGGATGGTATATGGAATTTTGATTCTATTGCCTACCCTTTGCCACTGGACATCATTCAAAAAATTGTGGCCACTCCTATTTAGAGACACAGCTCTGAGCAAGATTCTTTTAGGTGGAACTCTTCTACTAATGGTAAATTCTCCATGAAATCTGCCTATTATATGGCAAAAAATATCCAATGGTCGCAGAATGATGATTGGGCCTGGATTTGGAATGTTCCTACCATAGCAAAAATTCAATATTTTCTCTAGCTCCTTATGCATGGTAGAATTCTTACCTTTGATATTCTTGCTCAATGGGGTTTGGTTCATGATAATAGGTGTTCTAGATGCAGAAATGGTCTGGAACCTCTTAACCATATTTTTAGGGAATGTCAATATGCTGCCTTATTTTGGAATTCTATTGTTCCTTGATCCATCACAACTTGCAATCAAAACTTGATTTCAAAAGCTGGATTAAGGCCAATGTAGGTTTAAATAAGGTTAAATGCTAAATTTGGTCCCTCAACTTTAGTGAATTGCAAATTTTTGGTCCCTCAACAATTTTTTGCACTTTTTTGATTCCTCAACTATACAAAATGCACTCCGTTAGTCCTTCTGTTAATTTGGATCGTTAACTCTACTTACGTGGCATTTTTTATATTTTTTTTTATGATGTGGAAGGCAAAATTTAAAAAAGTGATGATGTGCACAAAACCTTTTGCCATGTAATGCTACTGTGGCCAAAACGCGCCAATTCCGTCCAAGTGGGTCCCACATCACCACTAAGAATTGCTTCTGTCCATTGATTACTGTTTCTGTTCTTTCCATCGAC